TACATACATATATACTTATTTACTGTTTTATATATATTTCCTCAGGTGTTTGTAGTCTGTGCGGGTTTAAGATCTAATAACCCCAGATGACCTGCTGTGGATGAGAGTGAAAGTATCTAAATCGTGTGTAGAGAGCCGCACATATTATTCTACAGGAAGTGCTGTGGGGCAGAGGGTAATATGAGGAGCAGCACAAACCCTGTGCTTCGTGCTGTGCAGCAAAGACAGCTAAACAGACAGGAGAGATGAACATTTCAAATGATATTCAGGCTGAAAAAAGAGGAGAATAACTGCAAAATAAGGTGGACATGAGAGAAAAAATTGATAAGTACAATAAAAGAGAAAGAGGGGATTTAAGCAGTGGATAGATATTCAGTGGGATGAAAGGAGAGGATGAAGATGACAGACCTGGTAGCCATTGTAGGAAGGGGCTTGATGTTTAGAGGAATAATTACTGCTGCTGTACAGCTCAGATGAATAGCAGGCATTCTAAAATGATGGGAAATAATACAGATGATTGAATGATGAACTGATGAAGACAGAAGTGTGAGAGATGTACAGAGTGACGGCGGGAGAGGTAATGTTGAGGGAGACCATCTAACTGTTTTACCACACTAAAATGTGCAATGCAAGGGCATCATGCCAGCTGAAGTCAGAAGTGGTACTAAATGGGCTTTTCACACTTGAAAATGTTTACCCAGGATCATTTTTAAAAATTTTTGCAATAATTATCTTATTTCATGCTGTACACTGTTTATACATTACCCAGGGTTGAGACTTCACAGTTCACATATTTGGAAGTGTAATTTGGCGATTAAAAGATTTTAAAAATTTAAAAATCAAAAATTGTAGTGTGAAAAGCCTTTGACTTTGCTACAATTCACATGCATAAAACTGTTGCATAGAAACACACCTGTACTAATTAGTCATGTTACTTCTACGATTTTACAAGTAACTATCTAAATCCTAAATTCTTCAGTTTATTTTATCTGGTCTAGCTGGTCTGCCAGACTGGCCAAGCTGGTATTAAGCTGGCTGGCATGCTGGTTTCTCAGTTTGAGTGTCCAAACCCCTTTAAAACCAGCAAACCAGATCAGCCTGAACAGGTTAACAGCACATCAGCTAAAATTATGTTTTGTAAGTGGTCGACAAATATAGATTTAAGAAAAAAGAAAGCAATATAATGCTTAAAAAATTACATTTATTTTACATAACGTTTACTAAATTAGAAATGAATAACTTGAATATAAAAATTAATATAAAAAATCATTTGAACCTATAAAACGAACAAATTCATACTATAGATAGCAACTTCTTGAATCTGTAATATCAATAAATATTAAATTAAAGTCCTGGTGATGTCAAAATAAAACTCTACCGACACATTTTGGCCAATGCTGATAATTTAAAAAAAAAGAAGAAAAAAAAAAAGAGACAAAATATAGGCTGACCACTAGGGTATTTTGTAACAAATCCATCATGCTTTCTCAAAGACAGTGCCAATCATCCACTCATGTTAGATATATTTTCATGTTAATCACACAAAGGGTGCTTTCACACCTGTAGATCGATTGCTTTGTTCCGAAACAGGGATTACAATTATTACAATGTTGCTTTTTATTCTTGGTGCGGTTCGCTTTCACACGGCAGAGTTTCAAAACGGACCAAATTTGTTAATACAAGTCACGCGTGAGTGAACTGTTCTCTCATTGGTCAAAGTTTCCAAAGGATTCCACTTAGCTGTCACGCATGTCATCTGTCAGGATGGACGATATTGTCGTGTTCACATATGCCCAAACGAACCGAGCTAAGGGGGGGAAACGCACCAAGTTCCGAAACAACAGTCCAGGTGTGAAAGCACCCAAAGAGATGCCAGATTGAGACCCACCGACTGCTGATCAATTCTAGAGGAGCGAGACATTTTGCTCTCATCACTGAGTCTGGAGCTCTGCGCACAAATACACAGAGTTCAGTTTACAATCTTCACACTCATCTGTACCACGTCACACCACAGTTAGTCACACTACTGCATCATGATCCTCACATATCCATCTAAATTAACAGCCTCTTGGATGTCATTATAGGTGAACCAACACACTAGTTAATACTCAATCACCATCATCAGTCATCACACAGTTATTTGGGTCACTAACCCGACTAGACAATGTGCTGAGATCATCGTCATAGCCATTGCTCTGTGGGATAGACAAGCCATGATTGATATTACATCTTCTTGTTACACAACACAAATGTGACGTGCATAAGTGCTGTGAACGTACGGTTTTGGAAGAATGTTTCTTCTTTTTCTTGGACTTCTTATGTGACTGATAGGAGGAGGCCTGGGGAAGCTGGACAGGATGGTGGGAAATGGAAGCAGGATTAAAACTGCAGAATTAACTGCTCAATACTTCATAGTTGTGAACATGCAGGTGAAGATTCAGACACTTCTGAGACATAACAAAAATGTTAGTCACATGTGGTCATATCCGATAAAATCCAGAGTACAGACCACACCCCCTTTTTTTGTAATGTTGATGAAACAATTCAAAACGTCACAAATGTAGCATCAGGTATTAGCTTATTTAGCTAAAACACACCACAGTGCAAAAACAAAAACGTCTTGTGAACTCAATTATGTGCTCATTTTACTTTAACAGGAACCTGAAAGTAATGACATAACATTCGTGCCCAAAGAAACATTTCCCGCCCTGAGATTCTTACCCCGCCGTAAGCACCCGCCGCATCCAAATCCAACTGCCCAGACAAACAAAACCACCATCAGCATGAAGAACATTTTGGGCTGTTTTATAACCTTAGACAGCACATAGCAAGCACACACTCATATACACCTACACCAAACACTCCGACCAACAGCACAGAAGGTTTGAAAGGAACTACACAGTTACACCGATACTGACCTGTATGTTGCTCCTGCTCCCCACTGACATCCGTTCTTCATCATCTGACACCTTGATGGATGAGAAAAAAAGGCAAAATTAGATGTACTCCACAGCTAGCAAGAGCTTAAAGACTTAAAATTCACCACTGTGCACATAAACAGCATATCAGTCTGAACAGTGAGCCCCAAAATGAGTCTGACAAAGTATTTTCGTTTGGAATAAAATCCAAGTGTTTTTTTTTTTTCTGAAGAACAAACTTGTTGTGAAGTGTTTTGCTAGAGAAGTGTTTATGGAAGGTTTAGGAGGACAGACAGTTAAAAGACAGAGATACAAACCGAAGCATGTCTCCGTGAGATACGTGTATATCGCTCACTGTCCTCCTGAGGAGAGGAGAGGAGAGGAGAGGAGAGGAGAGGAGAGGAGAGCAGGTGGAGAGGAGAGGAGAGCAGGAGGGAGGATAGGAGAGCAGGAGGGAGGAGAGGAGAGCAGGAGGAGAG